ACGTAGGAATCCGTCCCATAAATGGTGGAAGACTTATTGTTCTTTGTATTTGCTAAACGAACCTGAGAAAGAGAACCGGATCAATGTTGCTCCTGTCTGCTGAATGTGGGTTCCCCCCAGTGCCACATCTCCAGAGGTTTCCCGGTCCCTGAGCGGCGCCGGGAATCGCAGGAAGCTTGCTGCTTTACAGGAGGTTGGAGAAGAAGGGGAAAAGTTGGAGTCATGCTTCTGCATTTCTAGAAAGGCTCTTGGAAAGGACCAGGGGATCTGGCAGAACCCCCGAGGACTGACTGGGAACCAGAACCAGAACAGTCAAGTCAGTGGCGTAACCAGCCCCTTTGCCGCTGTTCTGTGCCCAGAGCCGCGCAGCGGCTCCTACCCACAGCCCAGGCGCTTGCAGGCTCTGGTAGCCCCTGCAGGGAAAGAAAATCAGGCAAATAACAAGTCTCTCTACCTTTCCTTCAGCAAGGCCAAAGACAATGATATTCTCCGCTGGCCACGATAAGCAGGTCACGGCGCTCTGCCAAGGAGGAGGCAAAAAGAAAGGTAAGAGCTCCGCTCCACCCTGCTCCTGAGACTGCTCAGCCCAAGGCAGAAGAGAGATGGGGGCACGTGGGCAGACCTTAAAGTAGGACTGAGGCCCTCCATGCTGCAGCTTAAACGAGGTAATAGTGAGCTGGGGTAAAGTAACAGGCTCAGAAGGGCCAAAGCAGAGCGTCAGTTACACCAGGTGTGTTCAGTGCGGACGCGCTGCTGGGGGGCCACTCACTCATCAGACGTGTGGCTTTCCACATGCTGCTGGTCAATGTACAAGATCATGGCTACTCTCAAAGATTTTTTGCAACAAGAAGTATAAAACGTAAAAATTACTTGACTCTGCCAGCTTCTATGACAGATGTGAGAATATCTGTACATTGGGTCTTCATCTGATGAACCAGAAATAGCCTTTATTTCTACAAGCAAGATGGTTACCAGCTGCTACTCAGCACGTCAGGTAGAAACAGGTTGATGAATTCCAAGCCAAAGGTATTCTCAAAATCTGAGATGGGGGGTCAGCAAGAGTAAAGCTGACCACAAAACCCAACTGTAAGAGAAGGCCAAGAGTTAATGAAACTGCCTCACATTTAAACTGAAGGATTTCAGTCCGTAGGGCAGCCGGTGCTCAGCACGGTGCCACCAGCACTAGTCTCACCAGCTCCATCTTAAGCACCCAGGACTGCTTTAGACACAAAAACACCCTCGTTCATACCACTTACCTTCTCTTCCCCACTTATCCTTCACATCAGCTACAGACACCAAAGTGTCCCTGGGGACCTGATCACAACTGATACGTCCAACCAATGACTAAGACCCATTTTTTATTACACCTGTTTCCCAGACCCTTATTTTCTGCCTAATGCGGGGACAAGCAGCCCAGTGGTAGCTTAGAAACAAGCCTTGCAAAGCTTGGGATTTAGAGCAAGGAAGTCCAACCCGCACAGACCTCTCCTGGCCTGGTGGAGCTGAACAGTGTCACTGTATTCACGAGACGTGTAAGAGTGACCAACAGCGTTTGCAAATGGCAGCAGAGGGAAAGGGCTCGATAAATGATCTTTCATATTGACTGAACACACCAAAAATTAGTAAATAACAGTATTTAAGTTACAGGAGAAAACCGGATATGGTGGTAAAAAACCACACATATAGCATCAGGAAAAATAAAGGGTTTATTATGATAGAAATGGCAGAAAAGGCATGGGGAAATGAGAGAAGGAAATAGGAATGAACCACTACATTAAAATCACAGCAGCAACGGCCCCACCACGAGGCCCCGGGATAACGTCAGGGTCCAGGAAGGGACAGTGGGCACCTGGCCCCTCCTGCCCTCGCTTCCTCACTCTACCCAGTGCCACGACCACTCCACGCAGCAGCTCAGGCACAGACAGTAATGGCTGACCAGCAGCTTTCCCAACCTCTCACCAGAGCAACAGAATTCCAGAGGTTCCCCTGCCGCAGCCAGGAGCGGGTGCTCAGAGGGGCTCGGGGGCCCCCCCAGGAGTGGCCACAGCGGCGGGCCACGGCCCAGCCCTGAGACGCAGGCTTCCAACCCAGGGGCCGAGGCTGACCCTCACCTGGGAGCAGCTTGAGAAAGCCTGGCACAGAAACTCCAGCAACACCAGCAGCAGCCCCGCTCCCGTCTCCTGGGGACCTGGCCCAGGAGGGTGGTTCCTCTGGGCGGGTACCTCGGGGGCTACCTCAGAGGTGACAGAGGGAACGTGGGGCTCACAGTGTGATGGCAGCTGCTGCACATCTGCTCCTGAAGGTGAAGGCAGCAGTCAGTGCACTGCATTTGCTCATACAGACGGCTTCTTGCGCAAGGAATTGGTAACACCTTTGTCTTTTCCAGACACCTAGGTCGAGCTCAGGACAATCCCTGCCAGAGACCTGATGAGCAGACGGTGCTCTGGCACGTGCAGGCAGAGCCAGAGCAGCAGAACACGAAGGCTGGGGCGGTAACCTGGCTGAAATCACAAACCTGGGGAGACTGTGCAGTCTGACTGAACTCTGCACACCTCACGTTTTGGTTAATAAGGAATCTTGGGGCTTAGAGCTGCCAACCTGTGAAAAATAGGTGGGCTCAGGGTCTCTCCTGTGTTCCCCTTTCAACTCCCTTAAAACATTCTGTCCAGTGATGCCTAAAGTAGACCCCAGAGTTTTTTAGCTGACTGCCATGATCATTCAACAGTTAATTACCGTGGTGTACCCAGGCATTAGGAGGCCTCTGAAGTCTGGCGAGTCAGACGTGCCTCAAAATTCAGAGATTATCTTAGGATCTACCTGCATCTTTTGGAGATCAAGCACGTCTGTGAGTATGAGCAGAGACCTCTGATTGTCTTTATCCTACACAGGCTGGAGAAAATGGGGTTAAACAGGACTCTGGGTCTCACCGTTTGGATGAACTTGTTGCATATCACCTTCTTGTCACCCCTGCAGAAAAAGGTAGACAAAAATGACTAACAGTGAAGCCAGTAACACTGCCCATCCTGGTTACCCTACTGGTTGTATTCAGTCCGGTCTAGTATTGCCAGACACACTCCAGTTTTGTACACCAGTCATCTATCACAAGGCAATCTTAGGCAGAAAATTAAAAAAAAAAAATAAAATTCTGAGCTTCCAAAATTCTGGTGACCTGCCTTTCTGAGCACCTTTAGCACAACACACACCAGCAAACGAGGCTGAAGCGAGGTGGGTGTTTGCCACAGTCCCACACCAGCGGAAGAGGAGACAACAGCACAGGCCTTTCAGCTCCAGCTCCACCGCAGCCCTGCTGGCACAGAGGAACCCCACCGGGCTCCATGAGGGCTGTGTGTCACAAACTGCTCACAGAACAAATAAACTGTTTCTAAAGACAGTGTCCAAACAGCTGAGTGGGAAGCCCTGTGGGGGAGAAGCGGAGCGAGCTCTGCGGAGGGGGGTGGCGGGATGTTTCTCCCTCTCCCTCCTGTGGTTGCCCAGAGACAGAACTCGCCTCTGGTACAAGCTGACGAGAACCTTTTGGAACAATCTATTGCACAGGCGTAAGATTATATGAAGACAGCACCCCACTTGTGTCTTTGTTGGCCCACCACCTACAGATCAAGCTCACTGCGACACCATGGGATCTAAGGGCGGTGATTCCCCTTGTCCTATCCCCTCTTTCCTCATTTCTCTTTCCTCTTTCTGCACTCTCTCTTCCTTACATCTATCGATCTATGTCAGTTTTGTATGAATTGTGATCAGTTGATGGCTGACGGGTTGTTAGGAAAACAGTCTCATCGCCAAAGTGCCTTTATTAGCAAATTGTCTCTGTTTGCTCACTAAAGCTGCCAGTCAATAGTTACCAGCCAAACTGTGCCTCTGAGTCACTGTGGTGACCTGACCTCACTGTGGCTCTGCCACCTCGGGGAATCCAAACGATTCACCCTCGTGGGACGAGGCGCTGCGTTCCCCGTCCGCTGCTCCCCTCCAGCCCCCGACCGGCCCCTCGGGCGGGTGATGCAGCGTGTGCGGGGCCGGGACGGTGCCCGAGGAGCATCCCGGGGCGCGGCAGGAGGG